AAAAAAAAATCTCCTCCCAGCCGCTTCAGCGTGTCTTTTAGGAAGCGGACTTTTGTGACAGTTGTTGCATGCGAGCACCACAGCTGAAGATATTTTTAGTTTGGCCTACTTTGCTCCGATTCAGTTCCAAACTACAGAAAAATGTGCGGGAAAAGCACAGCTCAACAGCGAATGTCAAACAAGGATCTGATGCCTCAGCTTTTCAAAATAAAAGAGTAAGGCGTTCATTTAGACCGCTGTTGTGTAGATTAACAAAAATGAAGGTGGTATTTCACAATCAGTGTGTACGAGCATTTGAACGAGTGTAGTGAATGTTTCTGTGTTTCCCAAGGCCTCGTGTACGACTCCCTGATGCAGAAGCATCAGTGCATGTGCGGCAACACCAACAGCCACCCGGAGCACGCGGGACGCATTCAGAGCATCTGGTCCCGACTGCAAGAGACTGGACTCAGAGCTCAGTGTGAGGTAGGCTCGCAAAAAATGTAGATATCCAGCATCCACCAGCCGTCGCGCAAAGTAGTGAAGCGCTTATGTGAGCTGAATCCATCTGTGTGTCTGTCTGTGTGTAGTGCATCCGTGGGAGGAAGGCCACTCTGGAAGAGCTGCAGACAGTTCACTCTGAAGCCCACGTCCTGCTGTATGGAACCAACCCACTCCGACAGAAACTTGATTGTAAGCCTTTATACACACACACACACACACACACACACACTTGTTTTCATATCTCAGTGAGGACATCTCATTAACATAATGCTTTCCCTAGCCGCGTACCCCAACCCTAACCATCAAAAATGAATGCCTGACCCTCAGCCTAAATCTAACCATAACCTAATTGTGACCCTGACACTAAAACCACATTTTGAGCCTCAAAATGCTTCAAACCCGTCGGCATTTTTCCCCATAAGTGACTGTTGGTCACCACAAGTACATGTATATACACACACACACACACACACATTCAGCTGCTGATAGTGTCAAATTGAATCTTTATTTCCTGCGACAGGTTCAATCACTCCTATGTTTGTTCGGCTCCCGTGTGGAGGGGTGGGGGTAAGTAATGCTTGTTTGCTTTGTTTAAAAGGGGCTAAAACAGCTCACACTTTCTGCACTATTCAACATCGGTTTCCAAGCCAGTTTATCAACACGAGACTCGGTTTTCTGGTCTTAGGTGGACAGCGACACCATTTGGAACGAGGTCCACTCGTCCAGCGCGGCTCGCCTCGCTGTCGGCTCAGTGGTAGAGCTTGTTTTTAAAGTCGCTACTGGAGAGCTAAAGGTAACCTTGATTACACCTGTCTGCTGCTTCTTGCTCTGTTTCCCACTGCGATGAAGCAAAGTTAATGTGTTTTTATGTGCTGCAGTTCTGCCACAGTCTTTGAAAAGTCAGAGTGAAGCCCAAAGTTGACACTTAAAAATTTAAGATACCTCCTTTCATTCGTTCTGCATCACCCAGCCAGAGCAGGCTGAGCTTGGTATTTCGAATGTCCTTTTCTTCAGCTTTTTCCAGTTCCACTGGGGAGATACCACAATGCTCAAAGGCCAAATGAGATATATATAACCCCCCCAGTGACTTCAGGATCTGCCCCGGGGTCTCCTCCCAGCTGGGGGTACCCGGAAAGCTTCTAAAGGGAGGCACCTGGAGACATTTTAATAACCTGCAACACCTCAGTGGGCTCTTGATGAGAAGGAGCAGGGTCTCTACTCAGAGCTTCTTCTTCTGGATGTCTTG